AAACGTTTTTAGGGCTTGACAGAACACAAAAAAAGAACTTTTTGACTGTAGAAAAGAGAGAGAATCTCAGAGAGATAAAACCCTAGTTTGAGAGCTTGTAGTTCTTCTTCAATTAATAAGAGAATTGTGTGGTGTGGCTCCCGAGGACGTAAGCACGTTTGCCGAACCTCGTTAAATCTGGTGTGTTCATCTCCTTTACTCTTTTACAAGTTTTGATCTAATCGAACCTCGTTAAATCTGGTGTGTTCATCTCCTTTACTCTTTTACAAGTTTTGATCTAATTTGTGGTGAATTTCCTACTCTCCTTTACTCTTTTACAAGTTTTGATCTAATTTGTGGTGAATTTCCTACTTTCCTACTTTCAACACAAAGTCTGGAAGGGCAAGGGTTCGATTGATTGTTTCGAATCCCCAACACATGGTTCATGAGTTTCTTGCAGTTTCTATAGTACGTCGTTTTTTTGTATTAAAATGATTATTGTTATGAAAAATACTTGATTGAAATAATACATTTCACTTCTTTGATGAAGTTGGCGGGTTGATGTAATGCTCTGCCACAATTTAGAAGAATGGCTGAGAAGCTGCTTGTTCATTGATTAAGCTTATCAACTATGTTTCATTACGACATGAGAATTAGAAAGCAGGTTGCAATCTGCTAAACTTTGTCACCATATTCTCTAAACTTGAGCACTTATAAGACTCCTAGTATACGTAAGGACATCCTTAGCCTCTCTAGTACACTAAAAAGGAAACAATCTACTAAATTTTTTTCTTTATTCATTCATGTTAAATATTTATATCCAATAGATCTTTCAACCGGCTTATGCTGACAACGCTTTGTTGTATTTACAACACGACATTTTCTATTCCTTGTACACCTCTTACGACACAGCGTTCTATGTTCATATCTTCTTAATGGCGCTACATTGAAGATCTAAGAGTCGCTGAAGCAAGCGATAAATCAAATGAAGTAAAGGAATGCGGAGAAAGCACCACATCCATCGTAGCACCTGCCATTGGGAGAACACTCTGAATTGGCACCACCTGCATATTTGAGAAGTACAACGATTTATCCACCACATACCAAAGCTTAATTTTGAAGAAAAATAACCTACAATACTAGGTTTGCTCTTGGCTTAAATTTTCCGGAAATAATCAGAAGTTGAGATAGTCTAGTTGCATAAAATTAGTACATCTATATTCGTTAAATGCAATATTGGTTGCATCTTCATTTTGTGTTTTGGCTTTTTTTTTCAGTAGTTTATTATTTTGTACTACCTTGTTTGGTTCTTGAAAGGAATTCTCATCCATTACATTATTGGATGTAAGAACGGTCGTCTTTGATTCAGATGCGTTGATGGCGTTTTGCAATCCTGAAACAGAAATGCTCAGGTTCACAGAGCCACTGCCAAAGTTCACAATCTGCAGAATCAATGAAAAAAAGAGTTTCAAGAAACTAATAAATCAAGTAAAAAAAAATGCATCCTTGCAGTTTCGAATTGAAAAGTAAAATAAGAACAGAAAATTTTAAATCGCAGTATATTGGAATCTGCTCAGTTTAGTCATGTCAAATAAAAAAATGTTACAACTTCATTTGACTATTGCGTGTAACACTTACAGATTTAGCGAAAATGGAAGAAGGATAAATAGATTGACAATAAGGTTATCTTTTAGCTTTCAATTTTCCTCTTGTAATTATGTGAGCAACCTCATTTCACTAATTTCCCAAACCAGATGGTTGTTTATCTAGGCAACCAATAAGGCTATATATTCTGATGAAATCCACAATAATTTTGAGTTATCAATGCATAGTTGAAATTTTTTGAAACATGATAGTAACAACTACAAGAAACACATAGGATATTATGAGAAACTGACCTTTATATTTAAGTTCTTTAACTGTTAACAGTTGGTCTTCAAATTTCAAGTGCATGTTATAATCAAATCATGTACCAGGCAAATATTTTGGAGAAATTATTAACTAAACTCAAAACTAATATCATAATCTTAAAACAGGATTCGCTAACAGGGAAGGACAAAGATCAAATATGGTACTTACCGTCGATCATTTTCATTGACAAAGAGTGGTGCATAGCTTGCCATCTCAACGGCATCACTGCAATAAAAGCGTTATCATATCACCCACCGTGAGTCAAAGCAATGGTAACCGAAGAGCATATTCAGTTGGTTATCAAGAGTTGTACCAGTACAAAAACAATAAGAACAAAGCCTTTATTATTATTTTTAAGGGTCGGCTACATGAATCCTATTATTCATTTAGTTTTGTATGGATCATCTCCTTTGTGGAGTTAATTATTATCATATTTCTCTTAATTGCTTCCAACAAATTTCTTTTAGGTCTAGCTCTTCTTCTCTCCCAAACTATCTGCATCGGTTCTCTCTTATTTTATTCTCAACAAAATCATCCATCTATCCTCCCGAGGATGCACTCATTTCTTATCCTATCTCTTAGCGCACACTAATATTTAACTAGCCTTTGTCAAATGATGTGAATTTCAAATTTTATTATTTTTGCAAATTTAGCATGGAAGTAGAGGAGCATGTGATCAAAAACACATTAGACAATAAAGAAATATTAACCATATACGAATCTCTTATTTTCCATCAGTTACTAGCCTGGGATATTTCTAACATAAAAAGTTGGATTATGAAGGAAATAAGACTGACATAAATGATCAGACCTGTTATTTTCCAACCCAATAAGGAAAGCAGCTTCACCTAATGCAGCCAGGAGGCTACCATTGCCAGCATCTTTTCCAGTTACAGCATACTCACTGACAAATGCCTGTGAGCAAATTATATTAAATTCAACAAAAATTCAACTTTCAACAGTGATAATATAACTTAAGTTCTAAGGTTATCATGCCTTGGGACCAGTCCTCGATGTGCTATCAAATTTATTAGCCATTTCGAAAAAGGCATTTGCACTTCGATAAACCTGCGAAATAAGTAATAAATTTAAGGTAAGTTGATGAGGAAGATAAAAGAAATAAAAAAGCTTATGCATGATACCAATAGTTATTTTGTTCATTCTTACGTGGACATCATATAGATCGGCTGGATGATCCAATGGTTGAGAAGAGGCATCACAGTTTGAAATGATCTTAATGTCCGGATAAGAATTTTTTATGGCATAGTAGAACTTGAGGTAATTCCCTGACCAGAAAGATGTAAGGTATATATCAGAGATTTCACTTGGAAAATTTTCTCCTTGGACAAACAAGTACATTATAACAAATCACAATTAAAATCTGATATTCACAGTGAAAATCAATATGTTTTGGATTTATTCTAAGTAAAAACCCAGTTTTCCAGTACAACTAATGCATTTAGTAATGAAATAATCACAACAAGAAAACAAACCTATATAATTAACTTTTCCACAGTCTTCATTTCCAATCGCAACATATTGCAGTTCAAAGGGCTCTGGATGTCCCATTGCGGCTCTCACACGAGCCCCATGTTGAGTTAACACTGCCCCTAGCAAATTCTATGCTATCAAGAATATCCTACAACATGAGAACTTTCAAAAGTTAAAATTTGAAAACTTTGAGAAATTATAGTTTTTCTACCAGAAAAAAGGCATTTTTATGATGTGGGTGCAAGTGTGAAATAAAAATAAAAGAGTAATGAGTAAAGATATGCCTTCACGAAAGGTAAGATGTTGGTGGTAGCAATTTCATCATTATGACTGATTCCTGGAACATACACAATTGTTCGAATTAAGTAGCCAGAAGTGAATTCTATACTTATTGTGCTGGCCACCCACGTGCGAAACCGGACGCGGTTTCATCTCCGCGTGAAGTTGACGCGGAAACATCCAA